TTGCTTTAAAGTATCTGCTTTAGTTTCTCTGCATTGAGGGCAACAAATGCTATCTAGTTTTTTGGGTGTCTTACCTATCCTCATACCTCCCTTGTGTGCGCTCGCTTTATCGTATGATCAGAGTCCAGTCCCCTTGTTGTAAAACATGATTTTTAATTGGTATATAATAAGCCACTCTACAAAAGTACGATAATTTATTTAGCTGCCCCATTTGTGGACATTTAAAGTTGATGTCAACTTCTAAGTATTATAAATAAATACCTGGATGAAAATCTCAATATATGCACCTCTGCTGATGCTTTTAGATAAATCCCCAAAGTGGAACTACTGGGTTAGAATTCCCATCCATTTAAAGAATCATGCAGCTATTTCGACAGTTGGCAAGCAATCAACATACAGACATGAAAGGTTTTGTTTTGTGTAGAGAGTGAGGAAAAATAACTCAATTTGAATGTGAGGTGAGGTCTCTTTGAAATAAAACTTGGTAAACTCAGAAAAGAGAATAACAGTGAGAAGAGTTAGAGATGGTTAGAGAGAGAAGGTCACTCATCTGAAGTGTGGGAAACGACTTTCTCACTGGATTAAAGTTCTTTTCTACTCAAAGCAAATTCTTTTTCATTCCTTTTCTTGGTGGTACTGAGGTTAGAACTCAGGGCTTCATGCTTATTAGACAGGTGCTCTACAGCTTGAGACACATTTCTAGCCCATCTTGCTCTGGTTATTTGGAGACAGGGTCTCAGTTTTGCCCAGGACAGCCTGGACCACAATCCTATTTTAAGCTTCCCACCACAGCTGGGATGACAGGAGCATACCACCACAGCCAGCTTTTTTTCTGTTGAGATGAGGTCTCCAGAACTTTTTGCCTGGGCTGGTCTAGAACCATGATCCTCCCCATCTCAGCCTCCCAAGTAGCTAGGGTTACAGGCATGAGCCACTGGTGCCCAGCTTAAACAAGACAAACTCTTAGAACCCTTCTGTGGGTCAAGCTACCTGGAGACTGGTACTGTTGTCTGAAAAGGGTGAGTTGAAGAAGCCGCTCACAATGTTCATGACTGACTCAGTGACACACTTCTCCAGGAAGATGTCTGCGTGTTTCCTGTCTGTAGTAGTGTTGCAAACCTAAAGAGAAAGCGAAATGGTTTAACATGCTTTATCACATCTTTGCAATATAAGTAAATACTAGAATCGCCTAAAAAGTGTCCCAAAGTAGTTCTACATAACAATTTTTGTGCTTTTTAAAGTTCTTCCCCAAATTCATTAAAACTGCATCATTATGCAGAAGCCTCTCCTTCAAATTTGACTGTGACTTCAGCCAGGGACCAGATTCCTTCAGACTCCCATATCCTTGTATTTTATTTCTTCTCCCTTTTCTTGCACACCAATCTCTCTCCTGATTCCCATGGTAGTTTTGCCTGAAAACTGTCTCCGTCAGTGTGAGGAAGTCAAAGTGGAAACAGTCATCATAAGAAAGTGGTGATGTAATGGTGGTGTAGCTCTGCACACATTTCCCTGAACTGAAACTGCAGAGGGCTAACACAGAAGCCCTGTGGGGAGGAGAACAGAAGGGCACAATAGGACAAATCTAAACCTTTTCCACAGCCACAGCTTATTGTGAGGCATGGACGTGCTCTGTGTCTGTTCTTCACTGAGAAGGGAAGCAAGAAGACACAGTAACACAGCCAGGGATGGCCCTGTTTCATGCTCTTATCTTCACATTTTATTAAATGAGGTATAATCTGGCCATGTTGCTAAACTATAAACTTCAGAGTGCGTCAGCATAGACAAATTGCAAAAGCTCGGCTACATGATTAAAAACAAATGAAAAGCACACGGGAATGTGGAAATAAAAAGAAGAAGGGGGACACCATATGTTCCAGATGTTCTTACACAATCCAAATTTCTATGTAATTGTTGTCTTTTCATAAGACACTTAATCAAAAGAGTAAGTGAATGCAATTTAACTTACTATTGCTTTAAAACTTTTCACACAAACTCACAAAAGAGGAAAATTCCCTTCTCAGACCACGTGCTCCAGGTGTTTGGGGTTAGTGCAAATGTCAGCAAGTGCTGGATGGAGGGGGAAGGACCAAGCACTTCCTATCTAGGAAGTCCATGTTTTCCTCGTGTATTGAATGGCACTTACCTGAAAGGGGTTACTAGATCTAAAAGAGTTTTAGTGTAATTACCATTATAGCTATTGGAGGGAACCATATAATGAAAGAAAATGTATTATGTCAAGTTATCAATTCTAGATATTTCTCTAGCACATAACACAGCATAGGGCACAAAAAGATGTTCAATACAGCAGTCCCTCTCATCCTCGGGGGATGGGTTCAAGACCACAGACAACATCAAACCCTATGTACACTGTGTGAACTTACACATATGTACCTGTGATAAAGTTTAATTCATAAATTAGGAGCAGTAAGAGACAAGCAAAAACAAAAATAAAACTTATAAAACAGACTATGGTAAAATGTTGAATGTTCTGTTCTCTATCGTCTATCTGTCTGTCTACCTACCTATATCTATCATCTATCCATCTGTATCTATCCATCTATGTCTATCTTATTGAACTTTAATCTTTTACCTTAAAGGAATAAATTTACAGCTTCTCTGTGGCATATCTGAATGCCAGAATCACTACTTTTGTTCATTGCAGCCATGATCAGGTAAAATAAGGATCATGTGAACACAAACACTAACATACAGCTAGTCTGATAATCAAGAGGGCTAAGCGACTGACTTGTAGGTAGTAATACAACGTGGACACACCAGACAAAGCAATGATTCACATCCCGGACCAGAAGGTATGGGATGACACATAATGGTGCAAGATTTCATTGTGCTTCCTAGAAGGTATGTGATTTAGAACTTATCAATTATTTATTTCTGGAAGTTTACATTTAATGTTTTCAAACTTCTGTCAACCTTGGATAATTGAACCTGCAGAAAATAGAACTAGTAAAGGGAACTACTAAAAATGTTTGTGAAACAAATGAATCAATTAATTTAGAAACTGAAAAATTAAGTACTCTCATTTTTGCTTTAGGTCACCTTTGGGTTAGGCGATATTTGTGAATGTCTGTACTTGGCATTTAAATTGAATGTGATCCCGAAATTAATTTTCTCAAGATGAACATGAATTAGCAGTTAGTTCTCCAAGTATGTTTCTAGCACTGCACTGGGTGTTACAATGAACATTTCTGATCTGGAGGCTAAAACTCTCTTAATGTTGAACTGGTACCAGGCCAATCCCAACACAACCAGCCTAAACAGTCTCCCTCTACATGCTGACATGTTACACATTTGTGGGGCTCTCTGTAGTTATCATAGCATCACACTGCATTATTGTTAGCACCTGGATGCTTGCATAAAACACCACCACCCAGAAATTTCCTTTCAGTCAGTATGTCAAGATAAAGGCTTTACTCCATCTTGGGTAATGAAAAGTCTGTGTTCACAAAGCTCAGTGAAACCCATTCCTCTTCCCAACACAGTTTTCTATGTTAGAGACACATTGACTTCACAGCCTACACTGCAGTATCATGGATAGTCAAGAAATGTGGAGGCCACTTTTCTTATTAAAACCTCTAAAAACTTTTCAGGAAAAACAGGATCTAATAAACAGTGTAATATTTCTCTATCCTGTCTTTTTCTTTTGCTTATTTTTTATTGCCTCTTTACAACATAGTTTGGAAGTGGCTCAAATAAAATTACATCACATTAAATGATCTTTTAACATGTAATACATATATTTCTAGGTTTCAATCTGTTTGCACATATTAATGACATAAAATTATTTCCTATAAAACATTTCTATGTACTGTCATTAGCTAAACATTTATTTTAAACAGGCTATATTTATTCTATCGTTTTAATGCACCATCATGCTTTAATCTAGTTTTGGAATGACTTGAGGTACACATTACCAAAATTACAAATCATCTTCTCAGTTATTTGCTTCTTGTCTTTTGTGGGATTTCCATTTATTCATTTATTTATTCACTTATTTATTTATTCATTCATCTTGGCTGCTTTACAGAATTGTGCAAGATTACTGATTTTACTCTCAGATTTTATTGGTATATTTCACCAAAGAAGGAACCGCCAGATGAGGGTGTAGAGACAGTTTCATACTGCTTGGTGGGTTGATCCTCTAAAATAAAGCCAGAACTGCCTAGGGGTGCACAGCGTGCCCCTCCATTGTCACAGCTGGTTCTTGGCCTTCAGGCTCTGGTTGGGTTCAGTCTGTGCATAGCACTGGCAGGAGGTTGTGGAGGAAAGACACAGATGTCAGCACTGCTGTAACTCTCCTCCACCCACATCTCCCTCTCCCTGCCAAGGCCACTTGCTCTGGGATGCACCTCATCCCAGAGCCTCTTTCAAACTCCCTAGACTCTCCAGTGACACTGCCCTGCCCCTTGCTTCTTTAGGCCTCCATTTAGTACAAAGCCTGGCTGCTCTCCTAACCGTTCTTGGTTCCTTCAGCCCTACCCACACCTCTGAGTCTGATGCATGTTTTCTACTGGAACTGAGTGCTGTACCTGTAGATTGTAATTACTCTGTGAATTTAATGATACCTAAAGGTTACTTCATTTTGTGTTTCTTGCATTGTTAAGAAGGCTGAGTACCTTTTACATAATTACTTTATTCTTATTTTCTGTCATTTATAAGCAATTCAAACCTTGAAGTAATTTTCCAAGAACCTAGATAGTGATTGTGCAGTATGCATTATTAGTTTAACATACTTTTTCTTCTTTTCTCTTTTTTGGTGTTCTGAAACAGAGTCTCACTATGTAGCCCAGGTTGGCTTTGAACACCCGATCCGTCTGCCTCGGCCTCCCAAGGTCTTGAGTTACAAGTGTGCACACCCAGCAAAATTTAACAGACTTTTTATAAGCTCTTTTAAGATTTTAAACTCTATTTAGAATCTTTACTTCATTACCTTTCATCATATGAACTAATTTTTAACATCCAGGCACTATTACTTATTTGATCAGGATTGTTTATTTAATATAAAGAAGACCAAACTGCCTTCCTACAAAAGAAGAGTCTACACATTTTATTATAATTTTATAATTCTTTAAACTATATGGAAATTGCTGTCATAGGTGATCTGACTTACAGATTCTAATTAGCTTTCTCCACATTGACAATGACCTAAACATCTACTAAATAGTAATTTCTGGCCTCTCTCTTAGGTTACTTTTGATTTATCTTGCACTGTGCCTCTATCAGCTACTTAAATCTCTCAAATACACCATGCAGCTTTTAAAATATTTTTAATGAAAAAAGTCCACCTTCAGAAATATTTGTCTTCTTTATTTCCAGATGAATTTTACTATCATTTGTTAAATTTCATGGCATATCACATAGGGACATAAATTATTAAATTAAAGCTAAATATGAGCTAGAAATTAGAATGTGAAGCCAAGAAAAACCAAGTTCTACTCTACTAGGGACTTTATTTGAGTCCAGAGACATAGCACAGATAATTAGTAAATATATAGCATGACAAGTAGTAAATACACAGAGAATAACAGACTGTAGAGAAAAATAAAGAGAAACAAGTGGTACAGAGAATGATATAGTAGGGGCAAGTGTGGTCGGGGATTACTATTTATTTAAGTTGCTTGGAAAACTTCGTTGTATAAAGCAACATTTTAGGGGTCAGGCACCCCTGTGCTTACCTGTAATCCCAGCTACTTGGGAGGTAGAGACTGGGAGGAATGCAGCTTGAGGCCAGCCCAGGCAGAAAGTTAGTGAGAACCCGTTTCGACAAATAAGCTGGGTATGGTGGCACATGCCTGTTATTCTGGCTACAAGGGAGGCCATAGCTAGGAAGATCACGTCTGAGGCCAGCCCCAGGCAAAAGTAAATCCCTATCCCAAAAATAACTAAAGCAAAATGGGGTCAGGAGAGTGGTTCAAGTGTTAAAGCACTTGTACAGCAAGTGCAATGCCCTGAGTTCAAACACTAGTAGTACCAGGAAAAAAAAAAAGGAAAAGAAAAGAAAATGAAGGAGAAGCAGCTATGGAGTTTCGAGGGAACAAATAAGAACCCGTCTCCACCACTAGAACACATGTTCCTAGACACCAGCAATCAGTCTGTCTTGC